AAGTATGAATCCAGATTTATAAGCTGTGGTCTAATATTTCCTCTGCAGAGCAAAATAGATAAATGGCCCAACGTGGTGCTAACCCAGTTACCCTGCTTACTTTTGGATTTGTGTCAAGTTGTAACTTGAAACATCTTCCAATAACTGCCCTGTCAGAAAATTGAGAATTTGGATGTGACAGAAATAAGCTTGTAGGAATATGATGAAGAAATACTCTCCCTCCACTAGTAGCAGAAGGTAACTAAATACATTGACCCACTACAGTTCAGACAGATAAATGTTGCGTAGTAAAAAGTACAATATTTCAGACAGCTGTAGTTACTCTTCAGAATAAGATTTTACAGAAAGAAAAATATGATACGCTTATAAAATACACCACGTTGTTTTGGATTAAACCAGTGGTTTCCAGCCTTTTTGCAGTTTGTAATGTGGGCTCCTTGTCACATTTCAGAAGTCTATGAGTTGTTAGCACTTCTACCAAAAAGTGATTTCCACTCTAAACTTCTCACATGGTTTTTATTTGAATAACTGCCCAAGGCCCACAGAGCTATAATGTGATCCACAACAAAAATTCACATTAAAAGCAAAAAATATTTTCAGACAACAGAAAACAGATTTTTGTGTCACATCTTTGTTTTTTCATCTTCCCTCTTATGTCATGATTTACTGTGACTCTTTGGAGGGGCCCAACTCCTAGGTTGGGAACCACTGGACTAAACTAGATAACTGCATGTAAAATAGTTGAAACAATCTTACAATGTCAAATATCAGTTTATCAGTATGTATCAGTCACAGGCACAAAACTAGTACTTTTACTTTGATACTGTAACTTTTAGTTAATTAAGATGCATTTCTACTTGTAATGGAGTATTCTTACATTGTTGTATTGATAATGTTACTTCAGTAAAGTACTTCTTCCTCCATTGTCCTCTGCCACTGTGAAGACAGCTGAGTTTCACCTCCAAATATTGTTGCTGCTCTGAAGTCAGCTTTGGGCCAGCGCTGGCACATGGAATCAGACCAGTCTACTGGGACCGATTCTGGTGCATCATTCATCATCGAGTCTGGCAACAAGGCATGTTGGATTTAGGCTGTCATTGGGCTGAGACCTTTTGACTACTCGGGTGGCACTGAAAACAAAAACTGCATCTCTGAACTTAGAAGACCTGCTGAAGCCAGAGAAGGACATCATGGGCATTTTTAAAAAAATATGTCCCAGCCAGCAGGTGAGTTTCTTTGTTAAATGTAATTACCAGTCTGCTGAGTGGAATATATATTCCTCACTGTTGCTACACCTTTTAAAATCCCATTTAGTTGTGCTGAGGAGACTGGAGAGCCTATTAGCTTTTTAGGGTGAAAGCCAGATTCATTTAGAGAAATTAATTTCAAGAGGTATTGCCCATGCACAGCCGGAGGATGGTGATATATCCTGAGCAGCATGTGATGTGAAATGTCGTGCATCGGTTTGCTGCTGGGGGAATTTCGGTCTTATTGACGGGTCAGTCCCTTACTCTGATTGCATTTTTGTGGCATTTAAATTTCTTACCTTTGTGCTGCATTAAAAATACTAGTGCATTTAACATGGGTGTCAATATGTTTGTGTCACATGGTCCTCTGCACCACAAATAGCCTTCATTTTATGTGAAAATCCCCTCAGCTGTTCTGCAAACTACCACTTCCTGTCAATGTTAGGTCTGAATCAGATGTCAGCTTTTTTTCTCATGTCTCATCCTGTCTTCTGTCACTTCCTGCCAGTCTAAATGATCCAAGACTAGATGACCAGTCCTCTCACATGACGCAGTGTCACCAGACCTTGTGACAAAGACAGAAATACAAAGGACTCACACCAATATGTTAAAATAGCCACATGAAAAATAAAGCGTGACAGCACACACACTGTATGAGTGCTCCATGTCCACTCACACAAGCTCACACGGTGAGACTGATAAGCCACCTCCCACCCCTCCAGCAACACACACTCATGTACAAAGGCCAGCGTCTCGTGTTCCTCAGTAGCCCATCTCACTGTTTCAGCTAATCTTTACCATCACAGGCCGGGCCGCCATTGTTGGGATTTCCTCTACTTAATTACTAGGACACTGCACTTTGTGCTTACTGTGCTGCTGTTTCAGGCTCCATTTCGAACCCTGTTGTGTCTTTAATCCCCCTGTGAGGTTTGAGGGCCAGAGGGGCAGCTAGGTTTACCACCTGTTGTGGCAATTACTAACTGAACAAAGAATGTGGAAGGGAGGGGCTTCGTTTCACCTATCAATGTTTTTTATTTTACCCAGGAAACAGTCATTACACTGTTATCAGTTCCAATAAAGCTGCTCTAGATTTTTATGTGAAAATCCATCTAAATTTGCCCATCAACACTAACTGAGAAGGAAACTTCTCCCTCCACAGAAAGCGAGAGAAATACAAGCTACATAAACAGCATGGAGCGTTGGTTAACAAGATGAACAATGGCTCATTATATTCCACCTCCTCCACCCTCACCCAAGACCTCTGAGGTTAAGAATTTGCAGTTTAACGGTGTCATGTTATATGATTTCTTAACAGGAGCAGGGTGAAAGTCATAATAAAAAGCCTTTATTAGCTACATGGCATGTTCATGAGACAATTTTGAAAAAAGTTTCACCCTTGGTAGGTGTTCATTTGGGTTCAAAGCAGAAGAGGATTAAAAACAATTCAAAGAGAATAATTCATGAGTACTTTTTTCATGCATAATATTATAAAGGTGACATTTAGGCTGATAACTGTTTATATTGTTGTTTTTTCTTTCTTTCTTCCTCTCATTGTCTAAATTTTCCAGTCTCCCTTGAATGAATGTACAGAAAAGAAACAGATGTACTTCTGTTTTATCCAATGTAAGAATCCACACAGACTGCGAGACTTGCACAAACAGTGTGCGTCATGTTTTCAGGCTTTTTTCTGGCATGCTTAATGTAGCGTAATCTCCCCAGACAGCTGTTGAAATCACACAACTCTTCCACAGTTTATATGTTGAGACCAGTATATACTGTATAATGACTGATCAAGGCCCCCGGTTTAACTCTGAGCTTTCTAGTTTCACTGTATGCAGACTGTTCATGTTCTCCCTTTTGATGTGGACACCCAGGTCGACTTACCCCTTGAACTCACCATTGTTCTTCTGCACAAGGTTATCTCTTACCAGCCCAGTATCTTTAAGGAATTACATTTATATTGTATACATAAAGTATATACACCTCATGATTTACAGGAAGTAGTGTTTCCCTTACACAGAGAATCATCAAGAAATGATGTAGGGCTGTGGGGCTGGCTGTTGGGCCTGTAGTGCATAATTTGAAAGTTTGTGTTTCCTCACAGATGTACTTTTTTTAAATACATAACTACAACCTTTCCCTAACCTTGGCCATAAATTAGTTATTAGATATTAGATATTGCAGAAAAACTAAATGTTGGCATTAAAGGTCCATTGTGTAACATTTAGAAAGGATCTAATTGCAGAAATGGAATATAATTTTCATTAGTGTATAATCACCTAAACATAGAAACTGTGTTTTTCGTCCCTTAGAATGAGATGTTGGGGTTTTGGAAAATCGTCCAATATCACGCTCCTGTCTGGTGATGAGGTTGCTCTGTTGATTTGCTATTTATTATGCACACAGTAGGATGTCAGCCCCAAAAGTGTGGAAGTGAAGGATAGTTCCCTCCCCACTACATGCCAGTTTATATCTGAAGGGCACACCTTAATATAGAAACTATATGACTAAGGTTTATTTGAAAAACTTGGATGGACTTTAAGTGTATATATTAGCCAATATACTGTATAGATTGCTACGTATAGATCCCCCTGAGAGCAGAGGGTTTCTACTGCAGTCACCAAGGTGATTTTAGGGAGGGTAATCTCTCATAATTCAAGTCGGATGGATTCACCGGAAATCAAATCAGCTTCCCAGACTGTGAGCTGAGGAGGCAATATCCCAGTGCAATTCTTCATTGACCTACATAGCATTTCTCCCTGACAGTTCCCTCTCCCTCCCCTCCATTGCCCTGATCTCGGGGGCTTCTCCCTGTGCGTTTGATGATGAGCAGCACAATATTCATCATCTCAGCCTCCGAACTGGGGGAAAAAAACCAAGTGGAGAATAGAAAATTAACCCATCCGAAGAAAAAAAAAAAAAAACATATCTACACCAAAAATTGGAATTTGCCAGGCGGTTTGCTCCCTGGCTTTCCAGAAATGTAATTAAGCATCAGACACAATCGCGAATCTGTGTGTCTCCAAAAAGTGTTCGCTTGATTAGGTATCGAGGATAATTTCCATCAGTGATGATGTGAAATTGGGGTGCTGCAAGTTCGATATGTGTGCGTGTGTGCCCCAAGTTCACACACACACACACACCCACACCCATTTGCAGTTGAATGCTGTCACATGTGCAGACACTCATGCAGACCCACATGCACGCCCAGAGACAGACAGTAGGCTCCCTCATCATTAATTCAGGAGCCATCACTCTCACCCTCCTTCTGCCCCTGAGAAGCTCTCGATGCTTCCCGGCAACATTATGCATATTTATTCATACATCCGTGCTTCACTAAATGTCACTGTAAATGTTTCTACTTCTAATGAAGCCATTTCTTTATGTTTTTGTTCTATTCCTTCTACCCCACCCCACCCTCTGTGTTTCCTGTTTGAATGAGGAATATCCCTGAAAACGTTTCAGGTTCGTTGTACTTTCTCTATTACCATAATGTCTCTAAACTTCAGAAGCGCTTTATTCAGCCCTCTGCTAATTCCATTCACACTTAGTTTCACCTCGCTCCAAACGCCTCGGAGGAGAAACACTGCCTTTGTAGCAATTACTCCAGACCTTGATCTGACTGAACCCCGCTCCCACCACCGCCCTCCCCACCGCTCAAGAGTCAGCGGTGCAGGAATTTTTCAGGGTCTCCTCTGTTTCCTATGTCTGCAACCAGAGCCCCAGAAAGTGCACGTAAGAGAGCCAGCTTACTTTGTCTTCTGTTTGTTCCCCTCCTCTTTGTTTTCGAATCCATTCACCTCTCTCGTTCCCTGTTTCCCCACCTCCTGTTTCACACAAACACGCACATGTGCATTCCACATTCCTGTGGACAAAAAACCCTCGATTACGACACACTGGCGAAGTTTGAAGGTGTGTTCAAGAGTGCGTGAAACATTCTTCGGCTGGTAATAATCAACAGCTGCAGAAATTGTGAAACAGTTACAGCAGCATCTATACAGTGAGAGCTATATAACCCCCTATTCATGTGCACAATAACCCTTCAGCTTGTAGCTGTCTTTTACTGCGGTTGTCATGGAGGAGAAACTGGAACACAGTATGATTAGTAGGTAACAAGGTCTTTTAAAAAGTTCATGATCTGCACCTCTAATCCACTTTGTAATGCAGTGGAACAGGAACATGCATTTAAATATTCCTGCTGGTGGAGGAAATACCATATCTGTCATCTCATACCTAACTTAAAAGTCCAGAGTATGTGCCGCAGTGAGGTCCCTGATGCACTCTGTGACAGTCAGAGTACTTGTTTCTACAGAGGATACTGCCAAGATGGATATGGTGTAGCTCATATCAAAGGTTGGGGTTTTTAGTGCATAAATCCAAGGGATTAAATGGTCCATGTGACAGCAGCAAGCAAGCCTCAGTGTCTGACTGAGATCAGTGCAACAAACGTTGGATGATATGACATCAGGACTGGCATCCTGCACCCTATCATTTGGGGCAGCAGGGCCGAAAATATCAGGCCTTGCTGTGCAGCTGCAATCGGAAAAAAAAATCTCTGAATGGGTGGCCTAGGGTATTCTCCAGAGACTTCAAGCTGATTTGATTTGAGTACTGTTTTGGGTGCATTATAAGTCTGTAAGGGCAACTAGTATATCAGGTCAGTTGTCCGGTATAGCCTCAGGGCGTTTTCAGACCTATAGATTGTTTGCTCTGGTCTGAATCAGTAGTTGAGTTGGTAAACATTTCACATTTCACACAGAAAAAATTTCAAGTGAACCAAAATGCATCGCTAAAAGCCCTGTGAGAACATTCACTCTTCATATTGATTAAATGTGTCTTGGGTGGAAGCAAAAAAGTAAACACAGGAAGGTTAGGTAGAGGGTCCTATCAGTCCAAATATCAAGAGGGCAACGTGTTTCATTGCTAGTCTAAGTCATACCTTGATTGATTCGGGTACCTGCTAGCAACTGTTGATTCCTCTCATGTCTATCCAGATGTTCAGCTCAGACTTGCACAGTATGCTTTGTAGCTGGGTCTGATCGAGGTCAGGTTATGTTCCTACCACAAACAAACTGCTCCAGAAGTAATTCCAAGCGAAGGGTACCATAAGGGAAATGGAACCACTGTCCGATTTAACTGCACTAAACAACAGAGGTTTCTTCATGGACGCCAAAATTTCTTGTTAAATCTTACTTACTTAATAGATTACAGTGATAGTGATTTGTGATGCAGAACAACTTAATATTCACAATTGATATCCTTACTGGAGTTTCCCCAAAGATTTTAATGGTAGCTTCTACATACAGGTGGGGGACAAAACCGACATAAAGTGTATCAATACAGTCCAGTATCCCTCAGAATTACGCCCGTATCGGTGCCGATATTCAGCTCCAATACAAGAAGGAATGTGGCGTTTATGTAGCAAGATGAAAATAAGGGTGGGGAGGTTGGGTGGTGAATGGACGTGTAGTGTTATCTTACTTTTCTGACTTTGATGTAGGAGACCAGAGATTGTGTCCCATCACAGACGTATAATTAATATTTTCATTTTTATCAACTGTAAGTCATTCTAGTTGCCATACCCCACCCATATTTTATTTGCCATAACCGTGATCTGTCCATCAACTTTCAGCATACTGTAGCTGCCATATGCAAATATTGTCGAAGGTGAGGATTTTTGAAACATTCAGTTCCAATTTAGGCAATTGGATGAAAGAAGAAAGTTGCAGTAATTCAGGGCTTGTCTAACGAAAGGTGCTGGGCCTCTACAAGCCTCCAAAACGGCTTCAGTGCTCCAGAGCACAGATTCTACAAGTCTCTCGAACTGTAGTGGAGGGAAGGACACCATTCTTCTGAGAGATAACATGGTCTAACAAGGTGTTCAGTTCAGAGCTCTGACTGTGAAGATCTTAACATATTCACTCATCAAGCAATTCGGCGAGCCTTTATGGAATCATATATTCAGGTTTTTCCTTCAATGTGTCATCTGTCTGTAACCTCTAACCCAAAATAGCACAAAAAGTGGATGCAGATGACTCCAAAGACAGACTTTTCAATCAGAAACTACTGTGGAACGCTCACACTGACTTTGTGCCAAATGGTTTGAACCTGTACATTTCACTCTGACTCACTCACTTTGGTGAATAAAGGCCGGGCTAATGAAATCAAGTCCACTGCTCACAGGAGCCATAAAATGTCTGCTTTTGTACCGGAGCTAATTATTCATCAGGGCTGAACTAAAGATTAGTGTGGATATATATGAAGAGGCAAATCCTTTAAATGGCTCTTTTATTGTTCCTCTACAATCCCCCCCTCATTTTAGATACGGCACAGGCAGGGACCGTTGTGAAACGACTCTAAGCCATTGTTCCTGTGTTATCCAGAAGACACGAAAGGCTAGTTAGTGCCGCCTTTGATAGAGATGCCCCGCACCATTTTAACATTTGTGTTATCAGTAAGACAGAATTACCAAGGCTGGGGTGGGAATAAAGCCACTCGATCCTCTGTCTCCCTCTCTCTCTAGGAATAATATAATAATAATGTGCACAGGGATTGTGGGCTTATCTTGCTCTTTTGTGTCACAAAACTTTTCAAAAAGGCTACATCTCAATACGCTATGTGCATAAAGCATTGCAACCTCCTGAATTGACACTGTGCTGCTTGCGTTCCTTGGAGAGCAACAGAATCCTTTGCTAGTTATTTCGCAGAACAAGCAGATTATAATACACAGTACATGAAAAATAGTATTTCACATCTACCAAAAAAAGAATAAGAGAAAGCCATTAATGCTTACGCATGGGAAGTCTGACTAAGATGCATACTGAATATAGTGATTAAGTCTGCAAAAACTTTTAATCAGCACACTTGTTTGTAAACCCAGCTGTGTAATCTCAAAGGCATTACAGTAAGGTGAGGCTGGGGAGCAATGGGTGGTTCTCTCTGAGCTGCTCACCAGCTCTGATGCCCCCTACAGGGCAGAAGGCTCCTAACTGCAGAGACCTGCAGCTGGAAGCCTCCAGTTATTGCAGTCAATTGAACTAAAACAGCAGAGAACTCCAGCATCCTGTGTGTGCCAGGCTTAACCCTTAAGGCCCAGTGACAGCGGATGGGTCAGGAACTTTCAGCTTTTTGAGAAGTAGGCTGAGTTTTAGTTTCAGTTCCCTGTAGTGGTGAGGAGTTGCACAATGTAGGAGAATATGAATGGATGTTTTGCTCTCTCCACTGTTAGTTCCAAGGGGCTGTCCAGTTTTATAATCAGCTGTATCTAACAGCAAAAATGTCTCATGGCATTTCCCACAACTCTGAGAACTCCTGCTCCAAAGGGGAATTGTTTCCTAGATAGGGTCTGTTTCTCAGCTCCAAAATCTGGCTCCAGAGTCCTTCCCTGTCATCTCCGGTGCTCATTCAACAGTTAATACATACCAACAAATGTTTTCATTTATTGTTATCAGTCCTGTTTGAATTGTTAATAACATTACACCGGGGCATTTATTGTATGTATTTGTTTCTGCCTATTTTTACATGGTTTATTGACTCCTCCACCCCCGATTGGTAATTCATGTCTCACACCTAATGACGAGGTTATGGTCAGTATGACATATGCTGCCATTGAAGAGTGTGTGTATTTGTGATACAGGCTGAAGTGTGTGAGAGACAGGCAGACAGATTGTCCACACACCAACAATGAACACATTCTTTGTTCAAACACTGCACGCTCAGTGAGTCCCTCAGGCCCCTATAGGCTGCAAAAAAACAGCGTATCAGCCCATATAGTACCTCTATGATATTCTTCTGATATTTCTATAGAGATTTGTAGTGTGTATGGTGTTCAGTAGTGTCAGTGTATTCTTTTACCTCCTATGATATCACTTCAATAATCCTACAGTACTCTGAGGGACGTACTGATTCACTGTGATGTTTTCACCCTTATATAAGTTATAACAGAAGTGCTATAGTTTCTCATAAGGGCAGAGACAGCTATGGAAGACTTTCTGCCAGTGATCCAAAATAAAAAATTGAACTCATTCAAGATGGCTTACAAGCGCAGAGACGCCACTGGGTTGCTGCATATTATGTCTAATGTGACTTTCTCATGCGTCCCCTGAAGGCTGGTACAAAGAGAGGCATCTGGGTGAAATCTGCATCTCCATTGCAGAGACCCACCACCCCCACCCCCCCGCGCCGCACACACAAATACACGCACGCACGCGGACAATCGCGCGCCCGCGTACTCATCCCTCGTAAAGGGGCGTGTGGGGCTGGCAGGGACTCAAACCCTCTGCATTCGCATCAGTGAAGGAGGCGAGAGCGGTGGCGCACGGAGAGACGGACGGGAGGGAAACTTCTATCAGATCAACAAGGACTTTCCTGTTTCTGCACATTATTCTGTCCATCCCTTTCACATTTTTGGGACTGTCTGTTTCCCCCCTAACACTCACCGGATTTCACTTGTGACAGACTGAATGAAAGGGAGCGCGATAAGGAGAGAGACCCGGGCGGATCAGCGGGGAGGAGATTAGTCTGTACGCGGAGAGGAGAGCGAGTCACCGGGCATCGGGCTGTGCGTCTTTGCGCTGTTGGGACCCGGGAGCGAACTGGACTGCGCTGTGGTACTCCCCCGACGTAAAAAAAAAAGGGGGGGGCGGGGGTTGGGTGGGGGAAATAACTTGACTTGGTTTTGTGAGGCTGTGGAGAAGATCAGGTGTCATTTGAACAGAATCGGAGGAAGCCTGTCGGATCGTACTCTCTGCTCCACGCATGTTGGAAGTGGAGAGAGGAGGGCTGGATGCATGCGGGGTTGCGAGTCCTCAAGACGCAGGTGAATGCAGCTGCTTTTATTGTTTATTATGGTATAGAAAGAGGGTAAAAGAAATATTGCTGCATTAAAGTCCACCGAAATGATCCTTTCTCACCATTTCCCACGGTTTCCCTTTACATTTTACACATTTGGCTGACATGATCCTATTGTTTTATAATCCCTTATTTCTTTGGTTTTAAGGTATACACAATACAACATGCATAATAAAACTATTTTTTCATACTCATATATTGCCTTGCGTTGCGTTTATGCAGGATTCTGATGTACAGGACTGCATGTGCCGGTGAATACACGCCTGCTCCGTTCCTTTTTGTGCGGTGTGACCCAGTAAGGGCAGCTTTGAGTAAACGACTCGAGGCTACTATAATTTACGCTTTAATTGATTTCCCCTAAATTTCAGAGAGCGGCTTTAATGGTGTCACTGTTGTGGGGCAGGCTTGAACAATCGGCGCATCTGGATAGCTACTGGTGCATAAAATAAATCCACAAGGACTGAGAGAGAGAGAAAAAACTCACTTTCTATTATTTAGCTCCCGCAAGAACGGGGCCTATAATAAGCACTGCAGCACAGATATGCTTCCATTTGAGCTGGCGGATCAGTGTTTTGTGGGACAGATGGATTGGAAGACACAAAAGAGGATTTATGTCACATAAAATGACCAATCCCAGATAGGACACATCCAGAGGAAATACTCCTACAGTATTCCTTACAATCCAGACTTATACGTGTTAAAATGATGTTGCATGGTAGCATGTTTCTACCAATAATCATAATCGGTGATATAATGTTTTTAAATGTTCCTGGAGGGAGTCCTGTTGTGTTACTACATCTTCCATTAATGTCTGGCTCCTTTTTGTAAGAGAAGAGAGAGCGGGTGAGGGAGGGAGAGTGAGCCAGTAAAAGAGAGAGGGGAAGAAAGCAAGGGGGGGGTGAGAGAGAGAGAGAGAGAGAGTCATGTCACTTAACGGACTGCTGGTGCTCTGTGACTGAGTGTGCAGCTCCGCTTACATATAAAGACACAGAGCTTTTCCACACATAGGTTGGCTATTTGTAATCAAGCCAATCATCAACCTCTCCGAGTCCCCACTCGGAGCCTATAGAAGCAAAGTGGTTACAATTTGGGGAAGGGGTGTACCCGTGCCTTTATAGTCCTGTTTGTAGCAGCAGCAGCGTTCAGACACATTGGGAAATGTCTAAAGCGCACGGCCGCAGCGCGCGTTCCTAACCTGCTCACCACATCTCCGTGTATCTCTTCTCACCCCACAGCCGAGGATTACCCGCTGCCTTATCGTTTGACGGAGTAAGAACGCAGAAAGGAGTGGGTCAGTTCTTCGTGTACATCTTGCGCTTTGGCTTCTTTGGAGAGGATATGGCACGGTCGGCGCTGGAGAGAGGAGCGCAGCCGGCACAGGCGAGAGGAAACAGGAGCTGAATGACAGGATGCCAGCGACCTGAGCCCGCTCTCAGATCAGTTCCAACTGCGCTAAAAAAGACACTTTTGTTTTATTTGTCGAGTTAAGAGGAGGAGAGAAGAACACCTGCCTAAAAAAAAAAAAATCTGCTGGAGGAGTTTAATTTCGGAGTTTTCTTTTTTGTATGCGTAATTTTATTTTTGTGGAGAGAAAACAAGGATGCATTGTGGATTAGTCTTTATCCTGTTCATGGGAATCCTTTTGGTGGTCAAGGCTTTCAAAAACGGTAAGCGTGACATCTGATATCTATATAAATAAAGCTTTTATGTACTCTGCAGAGCTACTAATCCCAATATTTTTTTTAAAGATTAGCCCGCTCTGATCTCCGCTGATCTTTTGGCAAACTCGCAAGGCTCTCACCTGCCCATTGTGCCAACACCTCAGAAAATCCCTCACATTTCTAGAGACTCATATATTATTGCTCAATAGTGACTTTATAGAGATGATCCTAGCCCTCTTTAATTATTTCCTCCTTTATTTATTTATTTTATTCCTGTTATTCCTTTGTTTAGAATGTATGATAATGAGTAGTAATCAGTTTTTTTGTTACTTTTTCTTAAGGCATTTTAATTCTATTATTATCCTTATCATATGATTTCAGTATTATATATAATATTTATTTATAATAAGCTCTTTTTTTTAGAACACTTTATCGAGTGATTTTAATCAGTTTAGAAAACGTGAGCTGTGATAAAGTTCAGAAAGTCAGCCCAAACTTCCCCATGTTCTTCCAGCGTCAGTTTCCTTTCTACTTTGCGCTTTTATTCCTCGCTCGCTTTCTTCACTGTTTTAATCTTTTTTTTTTTTCACGAGGTTTATGTAAAGTTATAGAGCAGCAGCCGGTGGAAGCATTTGTAGTAAAAAAGGAAGAATAAAAGCGCAAATGTAGATAAATGTGAGTCGCAGCGGCGGGCCTCTGAGAAACAAAGGGTTATTTCTTCTAATAATTAAAATCACAGCGTAAAATGAACAGGTTGTAGATCCCTGTGCATTTTGGTTCCAGCGAAACAAAACTTCTTCGGAAAGTTCTCAATTCGGACTTTTGATCTGGATCACTTATACCCAAACTGGCCTCAGATCTGCTGCTTCTCTTCTTTTTTTTTAAATAAGGAACTATTCCGTCACCTCAGCGTGACTTAAGATCACTCCATTGTGCCACAGCATCGAATCAAATATCATTAGAGCTCCACATAAACTTCTTTCATGGAATATTAATTATTAATAATAATAATAATAATAATAATAACAGTAGATACTAAAGTAGAGCCAGTAATACTGATACTTAGATCCAATTAAACTCTGCAATGATAGATAGATCCCACCTCATCATAGGAGCTGAATAAAATATGAGTTTGTATTATAATGGTGTTAGACTGTCCTGTAAGCCAGTCTTAAGGAAGGTGTAGTCCAGCTGTTGTGTCTCTGGAAGCTGCTGTGGATGGGAACACCAGCTAAATGTCCGAAGTGTGAAACACGAGTTTCTTTTGTTTCGAGCCGTAAACAACTCTTTTCGCTCCCCTCTGCAGATAAATGTGGAGGCAACATCAGAATCTCAACCGCCAACTACCTCACCTCGCCCGGATACCCCATGTCTTACCCCCCTTCTCAGAGATGCGTGTGGGTGATATCTGCGCCCGGTCCTCACCAGCGGATCCTCATCAACTTCAACCCGCACTTCGATCTGGAAGACCGGGAGTGCAAGTGAGTGTTCCGCGAGTCAGCGAGCCTGTCTATGACAAACAGATGGGCCTTTGGTCCCCAAAAAACTCATCTCATCAATCTGAGTTTGTCCCTGGGCCCCCAGTCTGGTCTGCAGTTAGTCGGGTTAGAGGGAATACACTATGGAAATAATCTGTATGCTTTTATTCTGTAAGACTGGGTGAATGAACAGTGGAATTAAACAGTGTGTAAAGCCTGCAAAGACATTGGCCCCCTAGACCTCCCTTTGGTTACCGCTCTGCTATGAGAGGCTGCGTATTCACATAAACAAACACACGCACACACACACACACACACAGCTATAGATTTATGTTTATTCATATTTGATAGCATGTATATGTGTGTGTTCCTGTGAGTGTAATAGCGCTGGTGTGTGTATGTGTGACACTCATTCCCTCCTTTTCCCTCATGCATATTGCACATGAAACTGCGCCATCTAGTGTCCGCAGGCCCGCTGAGACCGTGTCGATGCAAATCCAGCTCAGGCACTACATAGGGCGGCAGGAATTTCTAACCCCTGCCATTTGGTTTTGGAATGTCCTCCTCTCGTCCTTGAGGGGTGAAGTCACCGGGGTGTAATATTGATTTGAGTTGCTGCACTTTTGCAGAGGGCATTGAGGGAGAGCGATGGGTCCAAAACCTCACCAGAGGCCATTAACTGTGGTTACTTTATACACTGCAAGAGAAAAATGTCCATCTTAATAAGCCATTTACTTTCATATTTCCTCTCAAAATCCCATTACTCTCCAAACAAGTGAGAAATTCCAAGAACGGTTCTCAGCTTACTTTAATTAGGCATTCACTCTGTTGATGTCGCAGTTGGAAAAGAGTGAAATTGTCTGACTCATCTGTTTTTGTTTCAATTGCTTCTCTAGGTGAAATTACCCTTTTAAGGCGAATCTCTCAGTGACAGTTAGTTACTGATCCTTATTTGACTTGTAAGCCGCGAGCTGTCGCATCCAACAAAAGGCTAAGCGGCTAACCTGTTGTCTGATAGATGGTTTAAGCCGATGAAACCGGAGACAGACAGTAATGTGATGAGCCCGTGTCAGTGTGGGTGCCCTGAGGTGTGCCTTGCCTGGGCAGACTGCCTCGCTATGATTGCCTGCCTGTGTGTGTGATTGTGTGTGGTTTTTGTGCGTGTGTCCCCGCTCTGTCTCAGCTGTTTGTTTACGCTGCAGGGCTCGGGAGAGAACAGGGCTTTGCTGGATCCTGTTACTGTATCCCCGCTCCACCCGAAATCTGGACCCTATGCTTCTTTTGTGCTCCCTCAAAGCCCGCTGTATATGTTTACAGGGGTTTGGTTTTTTAATCCTGGATTTCAATCCCACTTTAACCTTCTTTTTGTTTTTTACTGCTGTCAGAGATTTATGGCAGGCTGAATGCTGCTGTCTTTTAAAGGCTTGATGCTCCTTGACACTTCTTTTGGGTCTGATTTCAGCACCAGAGGGACCATTAAACTGTCCAAGAGTCTCAGTTTGAAAGAGAGAGAGAGAGAGAGAGAGAGAGGAAGGGACAGGAAGAGGGGGGTTAGCAGTAACAATGCTTGTGCTAATCAAATTAGTCAGGAATGAATTTCCTGTGTCTAAACACACGCAGTAAAGAGAATTCACTTCCTGCAGGCTGAAGGAAGGCGTTTTTTTCCAGCTTGAAAAAAGGGCGGGCTTTGAGTTTAGCGATCCATCAATGTATCATTTGCAAATTAGCCCTGCTCTTTCATTTTAGCAGCCACCGAATAAGCAGATTGTGGATTGGCAGTTAATTGGCTGTTCATAAATTTGTTAGCAGATGAAGTTTGTGTAGTGATGTGTTTGCATCTGTGAGCGTCTCTCCCTCTCTCCTCCTCCTCGCTGTTTTTTTTTTTTTTTTCTCCTTTCAGCCTCTACCCTATTTGCTTTTTCATTACGCTTGGAGCACACAGCCTGTGTAATACCAATAGTACGGTCAGGAGGTTGTAAACCGCGTGTCTAGAGGATAAGCTAAGAAATGACACCAGCAGACGGCTGTGAAACTTAAGTAAGTCTCCGATTCATGTGGGCCAGGCAGAGATTGAACCGGAAAGGGGTCAACCTGACCTACAGCGTTGTCCTATTTTTAACTTGGTATACTGTTTCATTTTTAATGTTTTTAATGGAGTGGTTGTCATGGGACTTTAGTTCCACTTCACAATTTATTATTCCCCCTTCTGTGGATTCCTTGTTCCTTTTTAATTTCAAATTATGGCACTGTGTGTAACATGAGGGTGGGTTATTGTGCTAATCGCTGACAAGGCATGTCATAGGTAACTCGATTATAGGGGAGGGGACAGTTACTTATGTATCTGTAGACAGTAGTTGGGTGTGATTTGTGTTGGACCAATCAGACTCTCTGTCGCAACTCCACTCACCAAATCAGTCCTTACATAATGGAAACTGATGAGAGCCAGAATGGCTTCCTTATCTGATGGACTGGCAGAGTGGGTGGAGGAGGAGGGGGTTGAGGGGGGCTACAATGCATGCTTCAGTGCACTGCCTTGCAATCTAATTAGTGGGTAAATGGAACACACATGCACCACATGTTCGCCAACATGGCTGTTATCAGCAAACCAAACAAGAAGCACTCAAAGTGGCGCTCGTAAAAAGAAAAACAGCCCTTACTGAGCTGGAGCCTGGCCGCGGTGGTGTTGTTGCACGTGTGCGCTACCCTTGACAGGTTTGTTTGGGGAAGTGCAGAGGCCTGTATCCTGAGAGCTGGAGGAGGAAAACACTTCATCACAGAGATAAGGAGACTAAGTGAGCCCTGCGATTGTGAATGCAGAACGTGTTTACCTTTCACGCACCGTTGTAGACTTTCACAGAGTGGAGTTTCAGGGGCCGCCCTCACCGCTCTTGCAGCTAATGAAGTTTGAGGCGAAGGCACAGCCTGCATCAAGGCAAATATTTGAAGTCAATTCAGCTCTGAAAATCAGTTGAATGAGCAAGCTAAGCTCAAGTGAAAAACTGAAGTAAATAGATATGCTTCTGCACCGCTCCCTCCCTGTCTATGCATTCTCTGTTTCTCTGCGATCTGATAAGGGCTGTCAGGCTAGTCTGACTGTGGCAGCTCTGCTTTCTGAAGGGAAAATGGAGGTTTCAGCGGATTTGAATCTAAACAAGTGACAGACAGGTTTCACGTAAAGGCAGATTGAAAGGCAATTTCTTTAATTTGTAAGACGGATGATAGTTCTGATGTTTTGTTTAGAAATCTGATAAAATTTCAACTGAACAAAACAAGATGTAGAGAATCTTTCATCCTGAGCTGGAGGCTGTTCTCTCCATCCCCTCCACTCCTGCTGACTAGAAGAGGAGAACCAACTTTCTATAGATACGATGTATTCCTGACAACATTATGAATCATTGATGGCATCGGATTTGCTGACCAGACCAAAAAACTGTTAGTTCTTCAGCACACTGAAATCCCTTGCAGCCAGTCAGTCAGCCAGTCAGTCAAGGCTGCACTGTTTGTTTTGGAGGAGCAGGAGAGAAGGGTTAAAAACAGAGGGAGAAATAGACTGTCTCCTCAACCCTCCCTCATTTCTTTGCTTTTCTCTCTGTCTGGACAGTATTTTTCTGGACCCCACAGAAATTCCAGTGTATGGTGGGAGGGTTCAGATTAGATGTATGGCAGTGTGGTACTAGGCAGCGGAGATATTTGAGGAATGCCTTCTAAAGCAGCCCTTTGTGGGGGAGATCGAGGGGAAAGTCGGCAAAAGCCTCCCGCCTCGCCACGCTTCAAAAGTCTGCAAGAGCCCCCCTGCCTTCAGGTGCCTGTAACTCATAGCTTGGAAAAGCACTCTTTTCCTCTTTTTAATTGTAGTGTAGATATTGTCTACTTTCTCTGTCCCTCTGCCCCTTCCACTCCGATCTCCCACTGAGCTGCCCCTGTGGAGCTGCTTGGCCTGCTGGGAAGGCAAACATTCTCTGCTGTGTACCCCCTACAATAGACATCCTGCCCCTCCTGGCATTCCTGGCCAGGCCTGGACTCCAGAGATGACTAACAGGAGCTTGGGAAGGGGGAGCAGGGTATTATACCCTACCCTGGATCTATAGTTGGCTTCTTCTTTGTCATGTGGAATCCCACTAACTTCACTCATATGCTCATAGTGCCCAACAAAGAGCGCCACCTGTTTCTAGGAAGTGAGGAAGTGGAGGACAGAAGGGGCTTTAGGGAAAAGATCCATACTTGGCCATTTTCCCTAATTCCCTTGTTACCCTTCCACCTGAATAGCATGCAGCAGCTTCACGATAAAGAGCAGTGGAGCTTCACAGCTGGGGAGTGAGGAGCAGTAACTCTTTACTTGCTCTGAAAACAGTTTGTTCTCCCCCCACCGCTCCCCTCTCACGCTCCTCTGCAAGGCAACTCTGGGCAAATAAGGAGAAGTGGGCTGTGTGACGGTTTATCAGCCGTTGTCATGGAGGAAAATAAATAAGGCTGCAGCGCAACAGGAACCTTTTCTTAACTGGCCTGTGGCGGTGGAGGCTTTTAAAGAAGGGAAGTGCTGTGACCTCCGGGGCTGAGGAGACGGGGTTTTGGAGTGACAAGGATTGTTGGAGATACTTATGGCCTGTTAGTGGACATTCATTTCTGCTGTCTATGTGGGCTTCTTTTCAAAGTGCATGTCAGAGAAGCATCTGCGCGAGTGGAGTTCAAAGCGGCGCCGCAAAATAGGCACAGCAAAATAAAGAGTGCGTAGGGCGACGCCGCTTCTTTTAACTACCAGGTTTGACAAAAGCAGCTAAAATTATGCACCTGGTATTTTCCACAGCAATAGACTCCCACAGTTCATAACAATGGAAATCAAATTACACCTAAAATTACATTGAAACAGTGTACCTTGAAAAACTAGCTTGTCAGCAGCATATCAAAGAGCAATCCACTTTGAATATGTCTTGTTTGCTCTTCACAGCAATTATACCAAACCTTATTTTGTCAGCATGGTAAAACTTCCAGAGACAAGCACTCTG